ACATAATTAAAAACAAAACGTTCTCATCATCATAATCTCTTTTTGAAAACAGGAAAAAGCAGAAGACAATTTTTTGCTGATTTATTTATTTATTTATTATTACGTATTTCGATTCAGGTAGAGAAACGAAAACGGTACTTAATTGTCCGAATCCTGTCGCAAAATATTGCTACTATTGCAAAACAGTCGTTTGGACGAAAATAAAATATTATCCCACGTTGAAAACGAGAATTATCGCCATGGGACTATCATTTTGTTTGTAAGCAATAAAAAAAAAGCAAAGCAAAATGGCGTTCGACGTTCGACGTTCGCGTGTCGAATAAGATTTTTTTTTTGTTTTTTAAAACGTTTACAGATTGTGTTGGGTTCCGTTTTTCTGTCATTGGAAATCCGAAGTCGATCATCATTGCAGTTTTTGCAATAGTTATTTGGGTACCTACGATCCCATACTCGAACAATGTTTTTTCGACGGATTGAATGGTATTCGTAATAATAATAATGATAATGATGATGATGGTAACGTGACGGCGGTGGATGAAAAACAAAAAGAAGATGTCAAACAACCGCAAAAAAAATATAGAGAAGTTGGTAGGAGGTGCGGGGAATACGGTGAAAAAATCAGTAGGAGAGAAGATTTAATAAGGGAATGCGGTAAATATGCTTGAAGAACAGTGGAAGAAACAACAGTGGAAGAAACAACAGTGGAAGAAGCAACAGTGGAAGTAGCAAGAGTGGAAGAAGAAAGACTGGCAGAAACAACAATGAAAGAAACAGCAGTGGCAGAAACAACAGTGATAAAAGCAAATGTGGCAGAAGTAACAGTGGAAGGAGCAACAGTGGCAGAAACAACAGTGGAAGGAGCAACAGTGGCAGAAACAACAGTGGAAGGAGCAACAGTGGCAGAAGCTGAAGCAAATAGTTAACTCCTGTCGTATGTCAGTTATTGTAAACAAAAAAAAAAAAAAAATATATGCGTATATATTTTTCGTCAGACTTGTATTTAATACTCGAAAAAATAGTTTTACAAAAAAAAAAACCGAAAACAAAATGGCGGCAGGTTACACGAGCATCCGAATAGGAAATTTACAAAAAAATAAATAAATAAATAAAAAAGATTCACAAAAACGTAGAGATCGATGATAGTGAGTGCGTAAGTGCGTGCGATATAATTTTAGTTATTATTATTATTATTAAAACGTATTCTCGAATCGATATCGATTGAGTAACGACGATTAAAATATTTTGGCGCGAAAATTAACTTCCTAGTTTAAAATATTTGTAAAAAAAAAAAAAAAAAAAAAAAAATTGAATAATTTGTGACGTGTTTGTTCGTTCGTTTGTTTGTTTGTTTTTTGAATTTCGATCGGGCTTTAAATTTCTCTTTTTTTTTTTTTTTTTGTTTTTTGTTTTGA